CTGCGCCCGCCCCCGCCCCAGCGCCAGCACCCGCTCCTGAGACAGACAACCAGTGAATTGCGATCATAGCGCAGAATAGCCAGTACAGCAGATAGCATATGTGGAAACTAACCGCCTCCGCCTGGCTGGCCACCATCCTGGCCGCCTCCCTGTTGACCACCTCCCTGTTGGCCACCTCCTTGTTGGCCACCTCCTTGTTGACCGCCTCCTTGTTGGCCACCATCTTGACCGCCCCCGGGAGGACCACCTCCTTGTTGTCCGCCATCTTGACCGCCCCCGGGAAAGCCGCCTCCGGGAGGGCCACCGCCTCCGTCTTGGCCGCCTCCGGGAGGACCGCCTCCTTGTTGTTGTTGCTGCTGCGCCATCTGAGCCGTCACAAAGAGTTTGAGACCCAAAAGGCACAAATTCGTAGTCGTACTAATGAGTACTGTAGCAGGCACGTGAGAGAGCGGGTTTGCGTACAGCTGGCGTTGGTGCCCTCCGAGGAGGCAACCCGCCCGCACGCCTGCATGGCTGTACAGTATCACTACGGTAGCAAGCGAGGCAACTGAGCTGACCCAAGATCGCGGAGTCGGTGAGCCGCGCCTCTCTCAAGGTAAACCATTGGGTAAAAGTACTTTTAAAGTTTCTTTACCCCGTGGGGTACAGAGCTTGGCTTACCGTGCCCGTCAGCGTGGCGGCGACGAGCACGACGGCGACCATCAGGACGACGACGGGTGACGGCGCCGACCTCCACCTGCAGTGCAACTTCGACTTCATCGTCGTGTTCCTGCTGGAGGGAGTGACGTCCGCGCCCGCGGTGCTGGCAGCGTCGTGGCTGATGCTGGCCGCCTCTGCCTGCCGCCGTTGGCTACCGCTGCTGACTGCGCGCGTGGTCGGCATCCCGGAACGCTGGAAAACGTTTACCGGAATAAAAAGGGACACGTCGTTTAAACAAACAACCACTCCCTGCGGTCAACGGTACAGCGTCCGGTGGGTCCGTTGAACACTGTACACTCACTTCACTTGAACTACTTTAGGCGGGGTTGCCCAGCCACCGCCGCTGCCCCAGAAACACGCTTTCCCAGAAACACGAACAATAAATGTGTGCTTAAAAGTGTCGAATAATGAGGTATTTTCCGAATTAGAAGAACAAGAGGAATATCGTCTGCTCCCGGACCATCACAAAGCCTCGACCAATCAGAGAGAGCCTCTCTCGGCCTCTCTCGTGGCCGGCTCCAGAAATGCCGTCTCTGATTGGTCGAGGCTTTGTGATGGTCCGGGAGCAGACGATATTCCTCTTGTTCTTCTAATTCGGAAAATACCTCATTGCAAACAGAGATGGAAATTGGCATTTGAAAGAAAACACGGAATTTGAAAGCAAAGGATGACGCCAAACGTCATTACGGCACTTCGCCTTAGAAACCTTGAACCGTGGAGCAGAAATGGACCCGTTCGAGCCTTAAGTATGGCCCCCTCACGGGATTACTCCTATGGCGTTATAAGGGCCGGACGAGGGAGAGGGGGGTCGGTCAGCCCCCTCCCCTCACCTTACCCTGACTTTTCCGAATTGACACCTCCGGAGGTGGGGGTCGTGCGACCCCCTTCTCCTGCTTCTCCTAACGGAGTTCTCTCGTACTTACCACAATCCTCCACCAGCAGCAGCGTAGTTTTAGACTACGCCCGACCCAGCACCCAGCGCGCCCGCACGTCTGAACTGTCGGGATAAAACTGACCAGCGCACGCCCGGCCGGCGTGCAGACCAGAGAGGTGCGACGGCGCGCGCGGCCATTTCTGGGCCACGGACTCGAAGTAGTGGCTAATTTCCATTGTCGAGCACATCCGCCCGGCCGGTCCGGACTAGGGCGCCAGGAGGCCGTCGACGCGTACCGTTGCAGCCCGGCGAGGTCCTCGGGGACCATCGCGTCCACCGCGGGACCCTCCACGTCAACGTCGGACAGGACGCGTCCTCACTGCACTTCCGCTGCACTCGACGCTCTGCCCCTCTCGACAGGATGGGGTGCGTTCCAGTTCAGTTATTTCCGCTCTGCAGATCGCGGACGATGGATCGGAAGGGCACTACAGCCGCGGGGCCGCGGCCTTCTCGGCGGCGCGGTGGCGCCCGGTCGACGGGCAGCCCATGGGCCACGGAGACACATTGGGCTGCCTAACCCCCCGGGGCAGTCGTGCTGCTGCGCTAACAAACCTAAGAGGCCGTGGCGCCTGCCGTTCCCCTTCCCTGTTTGTAAGAAACAGTGTGTCAAGCGATATGTTCCAGAACGACTGATTTTGTTTTTGTAGAGATGATTTTAACACTGGTCAAACACATATTCGTCCCGTTTGTATTTATTTGGCTTACTTATATCAGTGGCGAGGGAAAGAGGTTTGAAAAACAATTATTCAAATAAGTTCAACTTGCTTTGTTAGTGTTTTTTTTTTAACAAAGGGAAAAACATACAGTTAAATGCAAATGAGAGGGAGGCGCGTTAAATGACGTTTTAAATAAACGATGGTGACATAATGTGGAACAATGATTGCGTAGGATATCTTTTAAAGTGAAAATAAATAATATTGGTCCGGGGTCGCTACCCCGCGAGCACGTTGCCCACGTTGAATGCCTTCTGTGCGAGTTTCAGTCTCAGTAGTTGGTAGCCGTTGACGTAGGCGATCCCCGGGTTCTGCTGCACCTGCACGACAATGGTCACGGGCCTGGCCGTGGTGGTGGTGGTCGTCGTGGTCGTTGTTGTCGTCGTGGTCGCGTTCGGCGGTCGGACCGTCGGCGTCGTCGCCTGGGTGACGGGGATGGTGGGCTGCACCGAGGTGACCACGTTGGTCGTCTGCTGAGTGAAGACGCCGGGGAAGATCAGGCCGCATATCACGCACGTGCTGTGAATACGGAAACCAAAACCGTCAGCGACCGGAACCGGAAACAGTGTCGCAGATTCAGCCAGCCGGATGCAGTTAGTAGGGCTGCATGATCATGGTATTGTTATGGGCGAGCATGGTGGCCGTCTGAGTCGGACTTTTGGAGGGGGCTCTGCCGCGTGGAGAGATCTTCCCCCAAAGGCTCCGTTCAGTCTTAATGTCGAAAGCGATGATAAACTCTCTCGTGTACCAGCGAGGAGTGAGGTGGGAACAAAGCGAAATCAACACTTGTTAGCACAACATGACGCATTTTTATGGACCAAAGTATGCGTTAGTTTCTTTTTTGTAAAAAAAAAGAGTGGCGTGAAACGAAATAGCGTGGTGCGGCCTTCCCTTGTCCCCACCTGCCCCCCGCACGCCAACGTGATAGCAAAATAAATAAAAATCTGTCGACATACCACCGCCACAGACCCAGGAGGAGGGCCTGGCTTTTACTTTTGCTTTAAGGGAGAGACAGTTTCTTGTCCATCTATCACTCATCACAGGCACAGGCTGCCTGCCTCCACCATGGGGGCCTCGGCTCAAATACTCGACGAGTTGTTCCACGTCGAAAGAACGCCGAGGCGAGATTGGTGACATCACCGCTTGAAACTATACGGTCCAACAGATATGCATACGACACGTAGATTTTTCTTTGCTACGTCAGTTAGAGACTTTCGGCGTTGGATCGTTAGATGCATCGGAAGCGATCGGAAGCCAAGCCGGAAATTGAAAAGGATCGATGTCGTGACGATATATCGTTTGGACGTGTCGGTTTCGACGCGGGTCCGCCGTGGAAGCAGGCAGCCCAACCAGCTCGGCGTGTTTACCTGAGCCAGAGCTGCCAGAGCCGCAGCCGGTGGCCGCGGCCGCGCGCTGCCGGCGGGGGCGGCCGCGGGCCGGCCGCGACTCGGCGACGACGACCCTCTACCCGGCGACGACGCCGACGCCCTGCGCCGCAACCGCCGCCGCCGCCGCCGCCGTCGGCAGCGCGGCCGGAGCCACCAGCCCCGACGTCAGCCCGGGGCACAGGCAGAAGCTGCAAAGGCAGGCGACAAAGGAGCACCTGGAACACAGCGAGTGTGAGAGCAAGGCCCAACGCACAGGGGCGGCTCTACAGCAAGAACACGTCAAATTTTGCCACCGAATTTACGCAAATTAAACCCGAAATGGCTCATTTCGAACGAATTCGTTTGACGGCAATATGTGACGGCAACGGTAACCCTTTCCTTTCGTCTGTTGAGGGGAGAGCTATCACGAACCCCTCTTTTGCCGCTTTCACCTCATCTTCCTAACTTTGCAGATCCCCTCTCTTACTGTACAAGGAAGGAGACATCCTAATTATCGCCTTTTTCTCCCAATCTTTCTCCTCCTGCTTTTTATTTTTCCCGGCCCGACAATATTCCTGCAGATGCGTTTTATGTGCCCCTCTGGTCCTTCACCCCTGGTCCGTAACCGCCTCCTCCATCTCCATCTCCACTGCAAAAAGTAATTGTCCTTCTCGCTGCTGAATACATCATCTGCTCACTCGGCACTCCGCATAAGCGCACCTCCACCGCCACCGGCTCCCTCTGCAGCCGAGGCGGCGTATAACCGAACGGACTGGACACTTCCGGCGCAGACCGCCCGCCAGTGGAGGCGGTGAGATGCTTAGGAATCGCCCGTTTTACAAAAGTACATGACCTCGGCGCCTACGAGACTCGGGGTAGGCCACCCCGCGGTACACGTGTGCACTGCAGGCAGGATGTTGCCTACCTACCAGGCGCTATGAGAGCTTGCATGGGCTGAGCCTGGCAGTTTTCTAATAGTATCGGCGAATGACGGACGCACCTTCTTGGATGACCCCTTACTCACACAACAAGAAGATCTCGTTTACGCGTCGCAGTCAAGAATTATTGACTCTGTCCGATTCTGCCCGCCTGAGCAGCACTCCAACCACACTGCTTGGAACTTGGACACTTACGGGACAACTGGCACCGCCGGGATGATCGGGACGGAGGTCACGGCGGTCGGCTGCGGCGCGGGCGTCGTGGTCGTCGTCGTGGTGGTGGTCGTCGTCGTCGTGGTCGGAGGCAGTGTCGGGATTGTCGGGACTGTGGCGGCGGTGGGCAGCACGAAGGGGATGCATCCAAAGGTACACAACCCCGTGGCGAAGGACGTCTGCGGCGCGAAGCCCAGCTGCGTGAGGAAGTTGGGCGACTGGACGGGCACCACCGCGGCGCCAGTGCCCGTCGTCTGCTGGATGGTCTGCCCGGTCTGCTGACCCGCCGGGATGAACATCTGCGGCATGTTGGCGGGCAGCTGCTGCGACACCTGCAGGTTGCAGCGCCAGAGGGTGAGTCAGAGGCACTCGCAGTGCTTCTACTATCTTTAATAAACCATTTTAGAGTGCAGCTGCTTAACACTTGTAATTGTGCAACGACAAGTTGGTGACTTGCAAGTGTTCAAACCCGGTAGCTTGGCACTTGTGCACGGGTGCAACTCCTCTGTTTAACACTTTCTTAACTTGAACGCATACTGTGCGGAAAGTATTCAACGGAGCAGTTTCACACTTACAAGTGCACAACTACCGGGTCGAGCACTTGCAAGTATACACTGTTCAGCGCTTGAAAACCACACTTACATGTGTTAAGCAGTTGCACACTTTGGTTGATCATTGCTACCCAGTGATGCAACGGGAAGCCAGAGCACCATAACGACACAACAAGAGGCAGGATGTCGTCATTTTCAAAGCGTTTTCAAAAGTTACTTCGTGATATTCCTACAGTCCGCTGACCCCGTGCTTTATTTAAAAAATGAATTTTTTTTTGGTCCTCGCGCCGTTACTCACGAACTCACCACTTGCAGCAGCACCGTAGCCAGGATGGCGATGCCGAGGGTGGCCCCGGAGGCCAGCGCGCCGCAGGTCGGCGTCGTCCTGCGCCCCGCGCCCCATCTTGCCGCGCCCCGGGACCCGGGGTCGGACATGCTCGTCGTGAGCGCTGCGAGGGGGAGTCCCGCGCCGTCTCAGGACCCGGCCCCGGGGGACGATGTGGGCCTCATGGTTATCCACGCTGATGCCTCTTCCAGACGAGTCTTAATCCTTCTATCGCGGTAGAGGTCACCCGAATTCTTCTGTGCCAAAGTCAGCACGCCCCCCTACTTATGTCGCCGCCGCCACACACGGATAAGGAAGACGACCTACGGGACGAGCTAGTACGAGACGAAATGGAAATTGTTTTTTTCGCGCACGTCTCGTATGATGTCACATGAGTGAATTTCTTGAGGAGTTGCTCGCGGGAAGCTGGGCTGTCGGGCTGCAGAGAGCGGGTCCGGCGCGCTGAGAGCACTGAGAGCTCGCCCCGGCCGGGCCCGCGTTATAAACGGGACGCCAGGACGACGACGACAGCCACCGGAGGCACCCGCGGCCGTCCCTGTCCAAGGACGCGACCGTCATCGGGGACCCCCGCGGAGGAGGAGGGGGGGCCGGCGGGAGGCAGGGAGGGAGCTGCTGCTGCTCTGATGTGAATAGGTTTGCTGGAAAGGGAAGCCCAGATTGGCTGGCGGGTGCGAGCGCAAAACGGGCATAACACAAGTGTCCAGTGTGTTTCCCCACGCTCGGTAAAGGTTACCCACCGCGCTATGCGCTGCCCTTGAACGGCGCTGTGACAATGCCTCGCCAGGGGTCCCCGCCCGGACCTCTGCGCGCAGCCTCCTGTCAACCTCATCCTGTGCGTCGCGTAGCGCGCGCACGCGGTGGTGCGTCGCGGACGTCACCCGCGCCGCGACACCGCCGCGCGGCCGCTGTCGGACCGGTGGTGGTCGCGCGATCGGTGGCAGCGGGTCCAACTCTACAGTCAGCCTCGCCCTTCAAGAGCTGTCATATCGTCCGGGACGGGTATATAGAAGGAAAGCGGCGGGAGGAGGTCAGGTCGCCCCCGCAAAAAAGGGTTTCTTGGTTTTAGTTCATTTTTTGTCTGCTTAAAGTTAGGACGGCTCTAAAAATGCTTTACCCGTCACTTGAGTGATCGGATAAAGATGTAAAATCAAAGGTGATTAGATAAGGATGACGTTTGTTTTTTCGTGTTTTGTTTTTAGCAGATGATACCTTAAATAGCTTTAGACTAAACATAAAACATATATATATAAAACTTTAAGGTGTCAGCAGCTTGTACTCTGTCACGGTAGAGCGAGGGGTGGTGGACCACAAAGCTAGAGATTGTCTGATTTGCTTGCAAATTGTTGACTTGGTTTTTATAAAGAGAGAGTGATTGACTTTGATTATTTTTGGGCGCCAGGCCAGCTAAGATTTATAAAGATATTTTAATGAAATTATTGAGAGGAGCTAGCCGTCAATCACTGAATAAATAATTAATTAAATGTTGAATTTTACAATGCTATTTTTTTATTACAGTAGGAGTGGGATTTACAAAAGAAACACTAACATGGAATCAGGCACAGACAGAAACACTATTAGGATCCTAACGTGCGGTGCTCGAACCCACAATATAATTTTCCTACTTAATTATTCGAAAGGCATAAATACATTCATCATACACAATATCAAGACACCAGATACAAGATACACAAGATACAAAATACAGAGCAAAATATTACATACAAAGAGGTACAAAAATACAATATACAAAATACACTAACAATACTCAAGTTAGTCACATACTCACAGCAAATATACTTCACAAGAAATACACTTGGCAAAAGCAATAGTTTAGATACCAATCAGAAAACAAAGTCAACGAAGTAACATCTGAGAAATTCTTCAACTGGACTCGTAACAAGACCTGAACCAAGAGTTGTATTATTTTACCCAGACAAAAGTAGCGACAAGCTCTATAAAATTAACAAGCACTCAGGAGTCGCAGACAACACTTCATCAGGCACACTTAACATTCGGAGAAAGAAAAACCAATCAAGCGAAACTAGCTTTTAGGGTAGATACCAACATACAAAGGTCGACAAAACAAACCCTACAAATACAACTCAAACGAAAAAACATCACAGCATTGGCAAGTCACCCAAACACATGGGGAAGAAAGCAACCGAGGGTTTACATAACCAGATGTCTTTCGCAAAGGTCAGGTCACAGGTGGTCAAGTACATTAACAAGCCGTTACAACTGCCAATAGAAATGCAAAGTATATCAGATGCTCAGGGAGGTAATTGTAGAGGAGGAAACCAGAGATAGTTTCTCAAATGGAGTAACATCTTGCAGATTAACTCCATGGTGGATTCGGTCGGCAGGTGGCTGGAGGTCAAAGGTCAAGGGCATCAAGGTCATGGGGCGGCCTTCTAGAGATATCTACTCCATGGTAGGTTGATGGTTGCCCGGTACAAAAAGCCCTATGGAAAGGAGAGAATAAGGGTTTAAATGGTTGCCCATAAGTAGTTGACCTTTTGATGCTGGGGATCAAGACGCACCCGCAGGGCAGATGATTGACGTGGGCGGCGAGCACATGGTGACAATGAGCACGAGCAGAAACTCTTCCGGACAACTGTCCAAGGCGAAATCTCAAAACCGTCTGACACCTGATCCCGAAAACCTCCTGTCCCCTCGCCGTTCGGGTGCGGTTCGGCTCGCCGTGGCGGCGGGCCGATTTCTAGCCGGGAGTCGACAGGGGCAGATAGGCCGCCAGTCACACCGGGGAGCATGGAGGGAGGAGGGTTGCCTATCTGGAAGGCGCTCCGAGGCGAAGCGCGTGACAGATCTCCCCCCTTCTCAACAAAAAAAATCGTCTCGATTTTTTTTTCTTCTTACATATAATAAAGTTCGATCTGGTCAGGGTGCCACGGTCCTTCTTCCTTTCCTTGACCGTCTTGCAGCATGTAGCCGGTCTCTCCTAACTTTGCAGTGATGGTGAACGGACCAATCCATTTTTCTCCCAGCTTCTTGGCAAAGCCCTTGGCCTTGTTTGACTTGGCGAAATTTTTCCGTTTCACCACGTCGCCGACCTTGTAAGGATCCGCGCGGCGGCGCAAGTTGAACCGTCGGGCGTTGCGGGTTTGGGCACGCTGGAGGCGCTCCTGAACCTCGTCGTGGAGCTGCTCAAGCCGCAGTTTTTCAG